TAAATTGAAAACAAAGGGACTGAAGGCCGTTTTGATCATTAACAATTAACAAGATTTCCTTTCCAATTCTATATTCTCTCGCTCACCAGAAATGCTCCAAAATAACTACGCAAAATATTATGGCTTCAAATAAAGTCTGCAGGACTAAAAGGGAGCGGACTGTGAGGATGTGGAAACAGCAGATTCCCACAGTCCTGGGAAATCTACTTGTCCTGTGTATCAAAAGCAAAAGGCATGAAGATACTTGAGCATGTCCTCCCAAACTTTACACGCACCTTGTTTGAGGAAACTCACTGAAACCACCTCTTAGTAAATCAGGGGTCCCATTATGGTCTGCACTGAGGCCAATTCTGAAGACAGACATGCCCCATTCAATGAGAAATTAATCCAGACTATTAAACCATATTAAAACCATGAAAGACAGCAATATAAGGAACGGGCATGCCTGACCCAAGAAACCAACATTGATTAGTTTGAGTATGATTGCAGTCAACAGGAAATTGTTCCTAGGTTGATTAATGGCAGCAAGGCCTGACAAAGGTTGGCTAGTTTTAATGGGCTGTCACAATTTTGTTGGGCTCCTCTGATCTCAAGCCATGATCTGAATCATGGCACCAAACCAGGTAAAAGTTTGCTTCTCATTCTGGCTCTCAAGGCTGCTGGGAAGCAAAAAATAGCCTTTTAAATTTGCTTAGTGTACGGCAAGGGTGACAAACTTGATTTCATTGCGGGCCACATCAGGGTTGTGTTTGGCCTCGGGGGCCAGGGCGGGCGTGGCCAGAGTGGCCGTGGCTAGCTTGGCATCACTTGTGTTGGGGGCACCTGTGGTGGTCCGAGCGCTCTGCCAGCGAAAACGGGCTCCTGAGCTCGTTTTCGGCCGTGACGGTCAAAATGTTTTCACTGGCTGCTGGAGGCCGTCGCGGCGGAAAACGTAACCTGGGAGGGATGCGTGTGTCCCCCCCGAGCTCTGATTTCACTGGCAGAGGCATTGCGGGCTGGTCATTTGCTGTTTCCCAGGCGGCCCTGTGGGCCACATCTAAGCACCCCAAATGGGCTGCATCCGAACTATACATCACCATATGACACCCTTGAATATAGCTAGAAAATGGAAGAGATCCTTTAAGAACCAGATAGGGCCATGATGGCGAATCTATGGCATGCGTACCGGAAGTGGCACACAGAGCCATTTCCCCTGGCATGCGAGAGGTCGCCCAGAAGAGCCTCACTGCACATGCGCGCCTCCACCCAACAACTGATTGATGGGTATCTGGTGCACATGCGCAGGAGGTGGGGGCAAGGTGTACAGGAGACACGCGTGCATGCGCAGACACGCAGTGCACACCAGGGTGTCTCACGTTCATGCAGAGATGCAGCGCGCAAGGGGGAATCGCATGCACATGCGCAGGGGGGCCAGCACGCATTGACTTCTGGGTTCTGGCACGCAAGCACGCGCACGCGCAATTATCAGCCCGTGAGCTGAAAAGGGTTAGCCACCACTGAGATAGGGGCTCCACGCGTCTCTCAAACAGAAAGAAAACTTTCATCTCTCCTTCATTCTACACATAGTCCTCCACTTACAACCGCAATGGAACCCAACATTTCCCTTGCCAAAGCACAAGACGCTGTTAAGCGAGTTTTGCCCCATTTTACGACTTTTCCTGCCACATTTGTTTTTTTCTTTTAAAAGAGTTATTTTTTAAAAAACAAACATACACATACAAAACGTAAAACCAGAAAACCATCTTCCATTTTATATACATATAGTAAGTCAGTTGGTTACAAATCTTTTGTGCTATCCTTTTGTAGTCATTACTCACAGTTTATATCAATTTTCACATTGTCAAACTAACATATGCTTATATATTTATCAGTTATTAATCATCCATGATTAAACTATTTATTCCATCATTTTATATGAGATATTCCAAATTTTATCTTAAAATTCATGTTATACTTTCAACCAATGGTTTTATCTATCTATATTATGTTTTATATCAGTCTATTAAATTTCTATCACAGAATTGCCTAGTCTATTACATTACCATGTCTTTTTCTTCAACCATTGATAAAACAAATCCCATATCATATAAAATTGTTTATCTTCTTGTTCTCTAATTTCAAATGTCTATTTACTCATTTCAGCACAGTCCATAATCCTGCCACATTTGTTAAATGGATCATTGCAGTTGTTATATCACTAACACTGCTGTTATGTGAAACTTGGCTTCTCCGTTGAGGAGCAGGAAGTGATCACATGACCCTGCGAACGGTCATAAATACAGTTGCCACGTGGTCAGATTTTTGATCATGGGACCTCGGGGAGGATTCAACGGCTGTGCGAAAAAGAATTATACATCACTATCTCCGGGGCTGTTGTGACTTTAAACAAATGGTTGTAAGGGGAGGACAAGCTGCAGAGGTAGTCCTCAACTTACAACAGTTCATTAAGTGACCATTCAAAGTTACAACGGCACTGAAAAAAGGGACGTATAACTATTTTTCACATGACCGTTGCAGCATCCCTACGGTCATGTGATTTACATTTGGACATTTGACAGATGACTCATATTTATGATGGTCGCAGTGTCTCAGGGGTCACATGATCCCCCCTTTTGCGACATCCTGAAGAGCAAAGTCAATGGGGAAGCCTGATTCACTGAACCTCCGTGTTACTAATTTAAGAGCTGCAGGGATTCGCTTAACAAATGGGGTAAAATTCACTTAACAAATTTCTCCTTAAGCAACATAAACGTTGGGTTCAATTGCGGTCGTACGTCATTTTGTCTCCTCACAGGTGAGACGCTGAGCTCAATAGGATAACAAAATCTTTTTTACCTGTATCTACGTTTCACTTCCATTACTTTGTATTTGGAGTTCCATACCTGTCGTAACAGATTTCTCTCCCTGCTGGAGCGATGGACGAACAAGGACCATGAGAATTTAAATTCCCCACCTCCAGCAACCAAGTTTCTTGGGCTGACACTCCAAATACAGGCGGTCCTCGACTTTTCGACCACAACTGAGCCCAAAATGTATGTTGCTAAGTGAGACATTTCTTAAGCGAGTTTTGCCCCATTTTACAACCTTTTTTGCCACGGTTGCGAAGTGAATCCCTGCAGATGGTAAAGTTAGTCACACGGTTGTTAAGCTAATCTGGCTTCCCGCTTGTCAAAAGGTCACAACAGGGGGACCATCACCGTAGGATGCTGCAACGGTCATAAGTATGAACCAGTTGCCAAGCGTCTGAATTTCGATCACGCGACCATGAGGGATGCTGGAAAGGTCATAAGTGCAAAAAATGTATTTTCAATGCCATTGTTAACTTCGAATGGTCAATAAATGAACTGTTGTGAATCGAGGACTACCTGTACACAAGAGGGACATCTTCTGCCATACCGTCCCCCCCGAATCGATCACTGTTTTAACCCAGCTCCCCAAACAGGACAAACCCTCTGCCGTGAACTCAAAAGGTTCCTATATTAGGAGCGCCAGCAGCCCCGGTAAAAAGTTTCTCTCACAGGCTAACAAGTCCATCAGGCCAGAAGATGAATAGTTGTCTGCCACATCTATCCATCTCTGCCCCTTGCCTTTTATTCCCAGAGCTAGGGTGGGGCTTTGCTAGCAGTGCTTGTTCTGACCCATGGCCTTTTCCAACAAATCAAACACAATTCAAAAAGAACAGAAACCTTGTAATGTTTTTACAAAATAATTAGCTGCTTGCCAAACTGAGCGAGACTTGCCAAAAGATAACAGACAAGAAATAATTTACAAAACAAGAATCTTCAAATACAAACTTGGGATACTGGAATGTCCACGAGGCTGAAGTTTCAAAACGTCTTTGCCTTCTGCAAAGTATGTTTGTTTCACAGCTGGCTTTTATCTTCTTGAAGCAGGGGCCATTACCTTGCAGTCTTACTCCCAAGTCACCCGTGCTGTCGTAACTGCTCCTTCCTACGAGCAATCCTGCGTGCACACACACTTGGCACAGGCTCCTCGGGAACCTCCTCATAGCTGCTGCCAGCCCCCACAATCTCCCTTACGGTCCTGGCCCCTCATCTGAGTCCTCACTCTCCTCAGCCATCCGCACCTGCTGCCGGCTAACCACAACAGTGGTGGCTCTTCCTTCCGAAGGACCAGCCCATAGATTTCCACTGCTCTCCTCTCCGCTCCCCCTCCCCTTTTTTTTTTTTTGAAGGTGAAAGAGAGCTTTATGCCCCAACGGCAGATAAAACGGTAGAACCATCTTCTAGGAGAAGGGAAACTCTGGTTTCAAACCTCCACTGCCTTGTGGCTATATCTATTATTGGAAAAGGCTTCAAGAGTCATTCTTGAGGCAAAATCCGGAGCCGGAGTCCCAGAAGCAGTCCGTGACTGTGTACAATCACGTTCTGGTAAACTTCTGCGACGCAGCTGGAACTAATCGAATCGGCTCTGCCGTTCCATTAGATTATTTCAGTGAAATGGAGAGGGGGGGATCTGCTGCTTGGGTAACAGTTTATCCTCCATATTAAATTACCCAGGCCTCATGCTCTGGAGACACTCCAGCTTTGCATACAGCATTGAAACAATATGGGAAGTGGCAGTTACCAGTTTCATAGCACGATACCATAGTCTCGAGACTGAAGGATGCCAATTCAATTCCTTTCCTCTGCTTTCTGCACATCAGTACTGGACCCAGCTGTTCCTCCTCTTCCTCATCAGCCACCTCCAAACCTGGGGGCTGCTGACTCTCCTTCTGAAGGCTGACAGACAGCCCAGGCATTGCCTGTCTCTCTCTCGCTCTCTGACAGCTCCATTCCCTCTTCCCTCTTGGAACTCCCAGGTTGCTCTGATGCTGACCCTGACTCCCACACCTCCTCCTGCTCCTCCTCTGATTCAGCCGCTGGAGCAATTTCACCTATTTTGTCATTCCCCCACTTCTATTCAGAATTCTGACCAAGGGAGGCACATTAAATTGAAGTCAACCGAGCCGTAATCCACGAACAAAACATACCACTTACCGCAGTGAGACTGGAAAACCTGTGGCTTGATAACCTGATTGCAGGAATTGCACACAACTAGATAGAAATCATCATGAGCTGGATAATGGCCAAATAAGTGCATATCTGTGGGAAAATTAAGAAATACATATATACAAACATTAGAAGTCATCTTTAGGAGGGGGGGGGAAAGAAAGATCCTTCCTTTTCAAAAAGCTAAAACACTGTATTTTGTTTTTAAAAATGCACCAAAAAAAAAAAAAGACGACGATTGCAATAAATATCGAAGTCCTTCTGAATTTAGGGGATGTATGATGGGGATGTATGCACAGGTAGTCCTCGACTTACCACAGTTCGTTTAGCAACTGTTCAAAGTTGCAACGGCATTGGAAAAAGGGATTTATGATCATTTTCGCACTTATGACCCTTGCAGGTCATGTGATCACAATTCAGTCGCTTGGCAACCGATTCATATTTGTGACAGTTGCAGTGTCCCCGGGGTCATGTGGTCCCCTTTTGCGACCTTCTGACAAGCAAAGTCCATGGGGAAGATTCACTTAACAACATGGTGACTTAACTTCACACCTGCCATGATTAACAACTGGGGTGAAAAGAGTCATAAAACGGGGCAAAACTCACTTAACAAACATTTCCATTTGGGCTCAATTGTGGTTTTAAGTCAGGGACTATCTGTATAGAGTTGCAACTGTGGTGCTCCTACCAGCACAGACGTACCCAACCACATTTCTACATTAATGCTCAACTTTTTTTATATATAAACTGGGAATGAAGTACAGGAAACCCTCGACTTATGACCACAGTTGAGTCCAGCATTTTCTGTGGCTGAGCGAGACGTTTAGGTGAATTTTGCCCCATTTCGCCACCTTTCTTGCCAACATTGCTAAGCAAATCACTGCAGTTGTTAAGTTAGTCACACAGCTGTTAAGTGAATCTGACTTTCCAATTGATTTTGCTGGTCACAGAAGATGGTGTCATGTCCGTTGGAATCTGATTCCGAGAGATCGAGCAGCTGACAGGGAGTGGGAGTGTGGCTCCAGTGACTCTGGAAGAAGCTGGGGAAGGACATAGTCTGGCTGGGCATTCAGAGGAAGACCCAGGGCCACCCCCTCTTCATCTAACTAGGCATGCTGGGAGGAACGGATAAGGGAGCAACATGGGTTATGGGGGAGAAAAAGGCCCTGATCTCCTTCATTAGCTGCAGCTGGGAAAACAGGATATAAAGGGTGTTTGCGCACAGCACCTTGCTGGAAGCAAAGCGTGCATTATCTTTGTTTGTCAAGTCTTATCTGGGTTCTGGCATCCTCCCAACTGTGTGTGTTTCGTTATCTTTTGGAAGTCTGCAATTCCTTATCCTGCCCTGTCTCATTAATTGCTGCAACGTGGTTTGTGTTGGTTTTTATTTATAATTTAGATGTACTTTGGATTCGGACTGAATTTCTTCCCTTTAAAGACTGTTCTTGGGACTGTTCTTTTTCTCCAGCCGATAACTGGACATTGGGGGCCAAGTTGGAGGTATTAAAGGGACTTTGTCTTTTTTGCTTTTGTGCCACGTCCCGGGTCATCACAGGTGGTCACATGACCCCGGGACACTGCGACAGTCATAAATATGAGTCAGTTGAGTCAAGCAAGTTAATTTCGATCATGTGCCCAGGGGAATGCGGCAACAGTCATAGGAGTGAAAAATGGTCATAAGTCACTTTCTTCGATTCCATTGTAACTTCACACAATCGCTAAATAAACTGCTGTAAGTCGAGGACTGCCTTTATCTGATTTGGGTTATTGTAGTGTCAGATTATTGTAGATTATTGGATTTATATCTGAGTAAAAATGCACCATCATTGTATCACTGTGCTCCCGCCTTTCTGTTCCATCTGATTTCAATATTTATTTCAAGAAATAAGCAGAAATCCCTTTTCTCAGGATAATCTCTTACGAAGCTTGGCTCTTGATGAAACAGGGCAAAAGCATTTGGTATAAGCAGTGCAAAAAAAAAAAAAAAAAAAAGTCAGAATATACGTCCCAGATAAGACCCAAAAATAGGCAATCAAAGCGCTGAGCATCTCTTGTGACCAAAGAAATATGATAGCTACCCAATCAGGGATTTACCCTGAGTAAATCTACTAACAAATTTTGAACAATGTCTCCTTGTGCCCCCCTAACTAAAGACAGTTATGAATAGACTGGTTTCCTTCACCCCCCCACCCCCATATTTTATTTTATACTTTCCAATCTAGGAATAAGGACAAGAAGAATCAAAATACTAGATATATTGAGAAATGTAATCAAAAGACGGGCACATTTTATCATATGTGGTGGACTTGTGCTAAAACAAAAAAAGTTTGGGCAAAGATGGCTAGAAAAGATGATAAGGAACCACATAGATTTTAAACCTGAACTATTTTATTAGGTATAATATCAGAAAAATTAGATAAGAAAAGTATGTATTTAATATTACATGTTTTAACAGCAGTAAGGATTATATTCGCACAATATTGGAAAAATGAAGAAACACCCCGAGATGAAGAGATAATTAAAAAGATACTAGACTGTGCAGAAATGGATAGATTGATATTCAAAATTAAGCAGAAAGAATACTTTCAAACATGGAATCTATTTTACCAGTGGTTAGAAAAAAGGTGTGGAGATTAAGAATATAATCAGATGTTAAGCAAATTAAATACCCAGACAACACAATGTTTATTAAGCACTAAGAAATATAATCAATAAAAAAATCAATTAACATTTGAAAAAAAATTAGATATATTTCATTTCTACTTCCCAAATGCCAATAGAAGAGAATATTAAAACGGTTAGTGCTCAACTTACGACCAGAACTGAGCCCAAAATTTATGCTGTTAAGCACGAAATTTATTAAAGTGAGTTTGGCCTCCTTTTACTACTTCGACACATTTGTTAAGTGAATCACTGAAGTTGTTAAATTAGTAACACGGTTGTGAAGTGAATCTGGTTTCCGCATCGAATTTATGAGTCAGTTGTCAAGCATTCGAATGCAAATCATGTGACCACAGGGATGATACAATGGTCATAAGTGTGGAAAATGGTCATCGGTTACTTTTTTTCGGTGCCATTGTAACTTTGGTCACTAAGTGAACTGTTTTTAATCAAGGACTATCTGTAGAACGGAAGAGTAGCAGCTGAAGGTTGAACTGTGGAGTCCTTGGGGCTCTCTGAGCTTGGTGGTTTTCTTGCAGACATTTCTTGCAATGTCTGCAACAAAACAACCAAGCTCGGAGAGCACCAAGGACCCCACAGCTTCCAAAACCCTCTCAACCACATGAGATAAGAAGTCCAACTCATGCAGGCGAAGGGCATTCTTTGTTATGTTTTCTAACCCACTAGGGTCTCCATAACTTCCAAAATCATCTCAGCCATATGAGATAAGATTGTGGAGGTCCAATTCATATAACAAAAGGGCACTCTTCATTACATTTTCTAACCCAAAAGAAAAAAAAATTGGAATTATGGGCCAGATCAAGCTGGGATCTAAGTTGAGATAATTCTGCAACTGAGTTTGGAAGTGGTTTAAAATGATGGCATGTTCTAAGCTTCTCTCTCTTTTCCTGGTCACACAATCCAAAACTGAGGATAGGCAACTCATGTCACGCTTCCCCATTCACACTGACAGGATAGAGGTGCTCCACTATTTGAGGGGCTGCCCCAAAGAAGAGGGAGGGGGGGATCAACCTATTATCCAAAGCACCTGAAGGCAGGACAAGAAGCGATGGATGGAAACTAGTCAAGGAGAGAAGCAACCTAGAGGAGAAATTTCCTTAACAGTGAGAACAATTAACCAGTGGAACTTCAGAAGTTGTGGGTGCTCCATCCCTGGAGGTCTTTAAAAAGAGATTGGACAGCCATTTGTCTGAAATGGTACAGGGTCTCCTGCTTGAGCAGGGGGATGGATTAGAAGATCTCCAAGGTCCCTTCCAACCTCATAATTCCATATTTTGAATGCAGAAGTATATGATTGCTGATGGTGAACAAGTTGCATCCATTTCCAAAAGTCACAGGTTCATAGAATTGTGGAATTGGAAGATACCACACTGGTAATCTAGTTTAATATTTCGTAGTGTGCAAGAAAACCAGTTAACCCATTCTTAAGAGCTGGCTGTCTAGACTTCCGGTTTCGCAAGGCTTCGGAGGCGGCGGGGTTTCGCGATCTCTGCAATCCCCGCCGCGCTAGCCGTTCTTGGTTCCTCCGACCCAGACGGGTCTGGAGGATAAGGTTGCCCCGTAGAGGCAACCGAAGACAGGGAGGATCCAGACAGGGGGTTGGGGTGTTCGCAGACCCCTTCCCCACCCGGTATAACCTCCTTTTCTCAAGTCGGTCCAGCGGCGGTCAGCAATGGCCGCCACAAAGAAGCCAGCAGCTGGACAAGATCGTGCTGGAGGAAGAAGGAGAAAGTTTGAAGCGAAAGTTTTTTTGGCTGAACTGGGTAGAAGATACATTTAATACCCTGAAATCTAAGATTTGGTTTTTTTTTTTTTTTTTGAAAGATACTTTGTTTCCAGAAGAGATTTGTAAGCGGCGAGTGAAAGTGTTTAAAGTGAAAGTTTACTCTCCTTCCACATGGAATTAACAAAGGAATACTGAAAATCTTACTATTTTATAAAAGGTAAAAATTTAAAGCTTCTTGTTATAAATGGGAAGGGAGAGGACAAAAGGAAAATTTATATTAAGATTTTGTTGAAGGAGATGCCTGGAAGATTTTGGAGATTGGAAGTTACTGTAATAAGAATTTAAAATACAGATTGGCTTTTTTTGCTCCCTTTGCAACTGATATTAACCCAGGAAGAAGGGAAGAACTTTGTGCTTTGTTTGGATTGTTTGATGACTTTGGGACTTGTTTTAAGCTTGGAAATATCTTTGGCTGTTTTAAGAAGAAGAAGAGGATTTACAATGACTTTATCTGCTGATGAACTGAGAGAGGAATATGGCAAAATAAAGAAAGACGATGTGGGAGAAATTTTTTGCTTTTTAGAAATGGCGCTTGCTACTTATCAGCAAATACAACAACTGATAAGAAGAAGAAGAAGAAGAAGAAGAAGAAGAAGAAGAAGAAGCCATCTTTAACGAACCCACA